TCACTGTGATCTTTTTCATTTCTCCTTTCCTATCATTTTGTCAATCAAAGCATATATATATATATATTACATACATATCAACCAGATTCAGATTCACACATCAATAGATTCCTTATTTATAATATTCCCTAAATCTCATTACATTCATATGATCATCCAATTTCCTTTATTTCAGCACATTAACTTAACCCATATCATCTTATCATACCATCTAGCCCATTTGTCATGTTATATTCTATCATCATAGAACTATCATACAACAGCACATTAGCACATACTTCCACACGATCCGCATGTTTCACATTAACTTATCATCACAACAGCAAAATCATAACACTTATCACACAATATGTCGAAGGTCAAACACCCTCGGACTCAGCCCAAATCGTGTAATCTCCTTATACTTAATTCCATATCTAGTTTTTCCAGTTCCAATAAAGTCTTCTAACTTAGAGTTCCTTAGTTTCTACCTCTCATCACTTAGCTCATATGTGTTCAGATCATCCATTACTTTTCCTTAACCCAAAAATACACCTTTACCATACATTTTCCCAAACATCTCAGATTATCACCATAGTAGGTCACTTAGATTCTTATGAAGTTATTACATATAAAAGAAGACTAAGGCTTAAGAATACCCCCTTACTTGGAAATGAGTTCGAACAATAAGTTCTTCTTGAGCTCCAGGAAGAAACTCCACGTTTCAAACGGTAGAACTTCTCAAAAACTAGATTTCTCTCTAGTATCATCGAAAAGATCACCATTAGAAGAAGAAAAACCGAACAATAGAAACTGGATCTAAAGGTTAGGCTCCGGAACTTACCCAAATCCAAGTAGAATGGACGATAGAGCTCAGATCCACAAAGATTCAGAGGTTTTGAGGGCTTTCTCTAGGATAGGGGAGGGAGAGAACTGAGAGATATCAGAGAAAGAGAAGTAATTTTGGTAAGAAATAAAATTTTTCAACGTGGAAGTCTTTAAATACCCCTCAGACCTGCACGATCTCGCTTGAGCGACTGACAGCTCGCCTGAGCGAGATGTGCATAAAAGATCTCGAACCTTCTTTTCTGATACGCTTGCTTGAGCGAGATATCTCGCTCAAGCGAGATGGTGTATAGAGAGCTTGTCATTCACCATGTGAGTCCTCGCCTAAGCGACCCAGATCTCGCTTGAGCGAGATTTCCTGCACCAAAACTCCTCCATAAATCCTTTACACTCTCTTCCAAGTACATTCTAATACTACTTAATATTAAACGAAACCTCATTTACCAAAAAATGAAATGAGAATGTTACAATAAATGTCATTAAGAGTAAAAAATTTAATCATGCTTAATGAAAGTTCAATGCTAAAGAAATATTATCATAATATGTAGGATATATAATTTAATGGTCAAGAACTTCATTTAGGCACACATAAACAATACAAAACATATGGTAAGCAAAATAATATGCAACACACAATGAGAGAACTAAGAACAATAAAAGATTAAAGTAGGAGAAATCTTAATTTTTGCCCTTAGAAGCATGGTAGTCAAAATCAAGATTTTACGATAGGATCAAAAGGAGGGTCACAGATTGTAACTTGTAAGATTTTGACATGAGTTATAAGATCCTAGAAAATTGTATATATGTATATAAAATAGTATAAATATGAAGATGGGGGATGCACATGAGAGATAAATGAGGAAAAAGAGTCATCCTCAAAATAGTGAGAGACATGCCTAATAAAAACAGATATGAGAGAAAGGGAAGAAAATAGATTAGATAATGTATTATGAAAATTGAAAAGAAGACTATTTTACCTTTAAAAACCTTAAAACATGGTCATTTTAAGGGAAAAAAGGAAAATTTAGATAATTTTAAAAAGTAAAAAGTCTTTTTAACCCTTAAAAAATCCTAAAAATTGCTTTATTTTGAGGGTAGAAAAGGAAAGTCGATATTTTTACTCCAACAACACTGTTGCTTTGTGAAAGGCCACGGGTTAAGTTGTCATGACTACGAATATAGCTGCATAGTTGCCATAGCAAAACGCTTCATTATTGTCAGTTTGTGGCAGCCGAAGGCCACTCCACCATGCATTGTTGCACATTGGCAACTACAAAGCAATTAGATCAAAATACAAACAAGTTAAAATAGGCACGACAAAATTATTGCATTGTTGCATATTGGCAACTATAAAAGCAATTAGATCAAAATACAAGCAAGTTAAAATAGGCACAACAAAATTGTGCGTGTCTACGGATCTTGTAATCTTGCATGATGATTCCACATGATCCTACAAATCTCATACCTTTCTTACGAGCCAACAAGACATAGTGGTTCATGATTGTAGCATCGCACGATTCTGAGTCAACATGCGATTTTGACTACCATATTTGGAAGTGACTCTTGGAGATTACAAAAAAAGTTCTTATGAAATCTTATACCATGATGTCTCCACTTTTGATTTGATCTTTTGTGTCTCAATAATGGCTTTTCTCTTGTCTTGTAATTCTTGTATTTTCACTTTCATGTCCCAAAAGTCTAAAAGTCTCTTTCTTCCCTCCTTTATAAAATATTTTTATAAATAAGTCTTTGATACTTTTCTTTTGTGTCTTTAGAAAGAAAGCCTAATCAAAATTTTAGTATTTGTTGCAAGCATTGAGTGCAAGTATGTCTAGCAACATAACTTGATTGTGTTTGCTATTATTATGCTCTTTTTTTTAACCCATTTATATCAAATAGGATCATAGCTTTGTTACGTGATACAAATAGTTTATATATTTTACTATTTAAGACTTATTTTTTCAATGTCAATCTCCAACAACTCCTTAGTAAAATCCAATTTAAATGTAAAATTATGCATAACTTAAATAGGAATACAACCTAACATGTATGAATTGTACACATCAACACACCCCCACTAAAGATATTTCACTATATACAATATCTAAAACAATACCTTACCCTTATAAGAAAAAAAAGCACTTTAAAAAAAATGCTTATGATACAATTTAAAACACTATAAATTATTAAAACTATTTTTAATTCATTTAAAACTTTTTTAATGCATTAAAAAATTTTAATCAAGTAAATAATGATTTAATAAAAAATTATTAAAAACAGTTTAACTAGACATATTTTAAAATAATTTTTAAATGTTTAAGATGAAAAGAAATCTTCATAAAGTATTTCAATTAAATAAATTTGAATCTATAAAATTAAGAATAATAATTCTCTTAACCTTACATAATTAATTTTATCTTTTTATTTTATTTATCTTTAAAACATCCAACTTGAAGGTGTGACCATTTGCATTTACGCTTAAGGTAAGATCTATGTTTTATCCAAAAAGAAAAACTATTTATAATAATTATACATAAAAATATAAGTAAATATGACTATAAATTTTGATCTATAAGATAAAAAAGTAGAACTAAAAAATAAATCTTTTGACACTTGAAAATTAATTCACATTTTCTCTTTTATCCTCTACAATAATTAAAACTAAACATATTTTATCCTTTCAAAATCTATTTTTTTCTAATATTCATATCACTAGAAACTTAAGGTGGCTTGAACATGCATTTTACACTTAAATAGATAAAATTGACCTGAACTCGATAAGGAAAAGCACAAATAGACTAGGTTTAAAAAAGATAATATGATTATCTATTCATAAACTACTCAACAACACTTATAAGAGGAGAATTATTAGAGCATACTCACTCAAAATAAATAAACAATAATAAAATACAAACAAAACAAACAAACTCTTCAACATGGTCATATCATACAAACCATTTACTCTGAATAATAGTTTTTTTTTTCAAAAACTTCATTATTTTTCCTTTTTTTTTCCTTTTTTCTTGATTTAATGGCTCTGTCAACACAATAATAAAACTTTCTATTAAACTATCGAGAAAAGACTTTAAACAAACACCGATTAAGGTATCTTTGCTATGAATTAGAGATACAAAGACTAAAATAAAAAATACATAATGTATAAAAATTACAATGAAAAAATTATTATATATAAAAAAAATTATAAAAATATGAGATAACTAAAAATAACAATAATAAATATTTTAATTATGTATTTTATTTAGAAAATTATTTACAAACTTTTTTATATAAAATATTAATTGAAAAAATAAGTTTTGTGATGGAAAAAAATATTTAAACCAACAAAAGTATATAAATAGTAATAACATCTTATTTTAAAAGTGACCATTTAAAATAAAATGGAACTAGTTAATAGCTCGTACAATAGATAAATATTTTATTTTAAAATAAATAAATTTTAATAATTAAAATTAAAAATTTATAATTTTTAAATATATATATATATATGTATATATGTATAATAAAATTAATTTTTATGAATAAATTTTATTAAAAAGATAAATATTTATGAAAAATATAAAAGTTTATATAGGTCAATTAAATTTTCTAATTTTAAATTAATAAAATTTGGTTTTTGTCAATTTATTTCTACATAAACTTCACAAATTTCATTTTTACTTAAAAATTTAACAAATTAAATTAATTAAATATCTTCTATTATAAAATAACTACCAAAAATTCAAATTATACTAAAAATAAAAACATAATTTTTATAATCAAATTTTAATTTCATATTTAATTTAATATTTTAAATTATATTAATTTTCTAACAAAATTTTTAATTATAAACTTTTAAAATATTTCATATTCCAAATCTATCATAAACTCTCAAATATTTAAATAAAAATAATAATTTGAGAGGTTTAATTTAAAAAATTGAAAGATAAATTAAATTTATTCAAATTTTAAAATAAAAGACCTAATTAACAAAACAAATTAAATAGCCAAAATAACATATAATTCAAATTATACAGAGAAAAGTGCAACTATCCTTGTTTTATTCAATGAATCGGGTCGGGTTGGGCCTCGATTTATTCGGTCAATTCCATTTAGTCCGACCCGACACGACCGGGTATAGTTTATGATTTGGTTAGAAGTGATGTGTATGTTGCTTCAATTGGTACACTGCGGAGTGAAGCAGCAGTGATGGGAGAGGCAGAGGAGAAGCAACGTCGTCGTTTAGAGCTTGAAGAAGCCCTTGAAATCCAATCCCTAAGACGCATCATCAGTGCTTACCTCAAGTATCACTCCTTTTCCCCTCTTCAATTTACTATTAACATTTTTATTAAACCTCACTTTTTCTCTTCAATTTTTGAAATGATCACTCAACAATTTAAGCCAAAAACAAGTTTTGTTTTCTCAACTAGAAAATGTTCCAAAAATTAGCGATACTTCTTTTCTATACAAATCGAAAAAAAAAAAAGAAACGAAGCAGTTGTTTCCACTGCTCCGTTTTGTTTTTATTCGATTTTGTAATTTTTTTTTTCGTATGTTAAGCGGAGATCAACATGGTGTCGATTGGAATGATTTCACTGCTTATTCGCCACTGATCACATAAAAACACACGAAGAAATTGTTTGATTTGAGCATTTTTGTAAATTTTCTGTCTGCTACTTTTTGATATTATGGCATCAAGGTGATCCTTTCTTATTACAATTGACAAATGCAAACACAGTCATAAGTATGTGAAGTCTCCAAAATATTGTTGAATTCCTTAGCTGTCTTCATATAAAAATTTTATGGTCCATTATGTTTTGTTTGTTAATTGTATTCAAATCTGATAGTACTTGTTGTCATTTCGGGTTTCTGTCATAATATCTACAGATAATAAGTATGTTTTTGTCGTCTTTTTTGTTGGAAGTAACGCTAGAACCTTTTTTTCAACCGACTTATCATGCAGCTATCCTGATGCTGCAGAAGAGGATGTTAGAAGATATGAGAGGTCTTACAGGAAGCTTCCACCTGCTCATAAGGTATTTTTTTTTCTCTCTTGCATTTGCTTGGTATTATTATATAGTTTCTGTTGGTTTTATGGTAAAAAAGCAAAATAAAATAAAGAAAAAGAAATGTGCAGAATTGTAAGAAGAATGAATGGAGAAAAAACTCAACTTTTATTCAAAAACAGCAATTCATTTATAATAAGTCAAAAAAACATAAACTGATTACGTAACTGAAAGATTTGATAACAAACTAAATTATTTTTAAAATATCGAAACCACTTATTGACTATGATACTAATTTAATAAACTGAAATAACAAAAAACAACTGATAGCAGTTTCAAAAGTATATTATTAACAGTTTCTTGTGGGTGGATTGCATGCTGTTTCCTATTTCTTGGCCTATCAGATTTGATATGAACTGCAGCATAAATCTAAGTCCTTATAGAATAATGATTTAATGATACTCCATGGTATTACACTGTTATTTCTGGCTTGTTACATCTTCCTTAGCTTGAGGAAATTGGGTACTCTTTGGCCAATTCAAACTGTATGGATTGAGCTTGTTGAACTCTTGCCTGTCATTGTTGATATGGATGCAAAAGAGAAAAAATGTTGCAAACACTTTATGGATCACTTCTTGGTTGGATTGCCATTTTGTTAGGACTGCAGTTGAGAATATGGGTTCAAATGGGGCCAAGCCCACACTATGGAGAGTTTGCAGTAGAAGAAAGAAGAAATGTAGTGGCAAGGAGAGAGTGACATGGCATAGAGAGAAGAAATTTGTTAGCCAAGTAGGAGTCCATTATAGTGGGAATGGTATGTGAGAGAGGGGTATCTTTTCAGAATTGAGAAGTTGGTTATGGATGGAGAGCAGTAGCTCTTTGTAGGAGCCTAGCTTTGTGGCGATAGTACTCATTTTACTGGTTTTCCTTTACATATCAACTAATACCAAGCTCATTCTCTCAATTTCTCTTGTTTTAATTGCTTTGTTTCCCTGTTGGTTTAATTGGTTTGCATCAAATTGGTCTAACTTGCCGGATATATGAGAGGGATATCCACTCTGAGGGATCGATGTTTCAGGCATGACAATAGAAGTGAATGCCACCAAAGAAGAAGGCGGGGAAAGGAGGAGGAATGGAAGCAATGTTTGCTGTTCTTGAAAACGCAATGGCAGCCATCAAAGCTACCATGGTGGAGATGAAAGCCAAGTTGAGGAGAATCAAGCTCAGCTTATCACATTATTAAAGAAGTTGGAGACAAGGTTTCAATGGATATGGAGGATGAAAGTGAGGGAGAATGAGCCGATAACAATGGCAAGGAAGAAGAAGACAATGTGGGCAAGAAACATTCAATGGAGAAATCAAAGTCTAATTCTGGAATGAGGGAGTTATAGGGAGATTCCTTAGATGAGTTCCGCCAATCTATGAAGAAAATTGAACTTCCCATTTTGACGGAGAGGACCCCGGAGCCTGGATCAGTCATGCTATTTTTGAGTGCAAGAGACCCATCTAGATATGAACATCAATCTGGCCCAACTTTGCATGGGAGGGCCCACCATCCATTTTCTTAATTCTCTCTTGGATGACGATGGAGATATGATGTGGGTGCAATTCAAAATCTAGTTGATGGAGTGATATGGAGGTACAGTAGATGGCAATATTTACAAACAATTAGCGGCGCTGCATGCCTGCAGCAAAGGGGAAATGTTGATGAGTATATAGAAGAGTTTGAGCGCCTTACATAACAGGTGAAGAAGTTTCCCAATAATCAACATTAGGGTACTTCTTGCACGGGTTGTGAGAGGAAATTCACAATTTTATACGTACTCTCAAGGTGTTGGGTCCTAACTTGTGTTCTTGATTGATGGATTTAGCTCAAGCATTGGGAAAGGAGGTATGGAGGAAAGATATGAGCATGAGTCTTGCGCGATAAAATATAGGTCGGAGGTGTTTTGGGCCAAATATGAGTTAAAGGTTTTTTTTGAGTCCAAAATGGAAGAGATGTGAGGAGAAGGATTGGGTTTATATCAAAAGTGGAAAGGAAGCTACGATTAAAGGGAGTAGTGATGGAGGGTCCTATGGGCTAACACTACACAAAACAGGACAAGCATGATAAGGGTAGTATTTTTCCCAAGGACAGAGGAGTAATAATTTTGTCTTATCATGTGCTCATGGAATGCAAAAAGAAAGCACTTTGCTACAAATGCGGGGGATGATTTCACCCTATCAACCAATGCCCTAATAAACAACTTTGAAATATGGTTATGGACAATGATGGGGATGAGGAGGAAGTTGGAAATATGTTGGTAGTGGAGTTGGTGAAAGAAGATGACCTTGAGGGTGAGTGAGTGTAGCATCATGTATCTTGAAAGTTTGCTCATGAACCAAGAATTCAAGTAGCAAACCTTGAAACTCTGTAACATGATGGAGTTCCAATCTTGATATTAGTTGATACAGGAGCAACACATAATTTCATATCATGAAGGCTGGTGACGAGTATGGAATGGATAGTGGAGAACACTAAGGCGATGAGAATTTGATGATGACGCAGAATCGTTTAGGGATAAAAGAACAATTGCAAAAATATTTGAAAGGGAAATGCTACTTGTATTATTGAATGATCAAAAGGAAAATACAAGAATGATATTCCCACAGAGCAAGGCTCCTAACAGATAGCTATTGCTATTTGTCTCTAACAAATTCCATAATCTTCTTTTTTGATTCCCTCTCTCCTCACTCCATCCCAATATAACATAAAATCACTCAAAACCACCTTGGGCCCACACCAAACACACTACACCCCCTGCCACTTCATCAATCCCTATTCTTCTTATTCCTTCTTACATATACCCTCCAAACGGTTGGCCTATTCAATTGTTGCTGCACCAAATTAGCACTTGGCCCATTGACTCTATTGGATCTCCAACAGATTAGGGGATGGATATAGAGTGGTGACAAAAGGCTTTTGTAAGAATGTAAATCTGCAGGAGCCCCCAGCGGTCCTTGCAACCAGAACAGTGACCAAAGATGGGGAATCTATTAGTCAAATGTTGATTCAGTAGAAGGGAAAACCTGTTGAAGAAGCAACATGGGAGGAAGAGTTTAATATTACAAGTCAATTTCCCAAGTTCAGCCTTGAGGACAAGTCGGTATTCAAGGGAGAGGCAATGTTACACTATGGATAATTTACACTAAAAGAAAGAAGAAATGTATAGGCAAGGAGAGTGACGTGGCTGTGAGAGAAGAAAGTTGTTAGCCAAGTAAGGAGTCTGTTATGGTGGAATTGGTGTGGGAGAGAGGGGTATCTTTTCAGAATCAAGAAATTGCTTCTGGATGGAGAGCATTAGCTCTGTGGTAGTAGTACTCATTCTACTATTTTTCCTTTACATATCAGATAATACCAATATCATTTTGATAGAAACTGGTATCTTTATTAAGAATACAAGAAGAAGCTCCCAACATTACAGGATAAAACACACATTCAATAGTTCTTCGAGGGACTGCACCTCCTAAGCCAAAGGCCCTAACTCTCATAATTGACAAACCAAGGTTCTATTGAGAATTGCACTATTGCAAATGGCAGAAGCCGATGACTATCAAAGTTCTTTACTACCTTCTGCTGTGTCTGGTCTTTTATGTCAAGAATTTGATTCCATCTCTGAAATTCTCTTTTTGTCATCAATTCAACTGAATATTCATCACCTATGTCTGCATTCTCTTCTACTATATCATTGGTCCCCTGCACCTCGACTGCAGGGTTCTTCTCTGTTTCTGTCTTTGTATGCTCTTTCCCTAGCCTTGGGTTGCCTTTCATATTGTGTTCCATCATTTTTTAGAGTGCTGCAGTGGATTGCCTCATCAATTCATTTGTTCCTTTGTTTCCAGCTGCATCTCATCAAATTGCTTCTCTAACTTCTTGCTCGAAACCATCTTCTTGCTTTACCCAACTATGTTTCAGGTGATTTCTGTCCAAGAAACTTGATATTCCTTCAAGAGTCTCACACATCTCAACAACTTGAATAATGAAAATTTACAAACACTCCAGGTTGAAATTGACTGCTAAAAGGTTGAAACCAAGAATCAAGTGTTGCCTCACCTACAAGCTCTGAATCGGAGCTCTGTTACCAGTGACAGAAACTGGTATCTTTATTATGAAATACAAGAAGAAACTTCCAACATTATAGAATAAAACACACACACACGACAGTTTTTCAAGGGACTGCACCTCCTTAGTGAAAGACCATCTCTCACAATTGACAAGCTGACCTCTGTCTCTTCCTCCCTCTTATTTATGGAGGCAATATGCCTTATTTTGTGTACAATCTCAACCCTGCGAAATTACTAATTAAGGCTAACTAACTAATATATTGTAATTAACTAATTAAGCTAAATAACCAAGATATTATAACTAACTACTACTATGTCCCTAACTAACATCATAGCAAACTACTAATGGGGGTTACCTAACACATTCTCTCTATTTCCCTTGTTTGAATTGCTTTGTTTCCCTGTTGGTTTAACCAGTTTGCATCACATTTGGTCTTGGTTCTGTCCATTAGAATATGGGTTATTGTTGGCACTTGGCACTCTGTGGTAAAGAGATGGGTTGGAACCTGCTTTTATTATTATGGAAATGGAGACAATATGAGCAGAATTGTGTGACTGATCAGTCAACAATTATGTAAATTTATTTACAGGAATTATTAACCCTTAACATTGTTTCCGCAGCTCTTTAGTTGCTGTCTTGTAATTTCTATTAATTCTTTGATTCCTTTGTTTACTGAACCTTTTATTCTGCATTTGTAGGCTTTGTTATCCCATTATCCTCAAAAGTTTCAAAGATTACGCCGGTACATTTTACTTGCTCTCTCTCTCTCTCTCTAATCTTATAAAAAAATGCCAAGATTTCTGAAGTTGATGCTAATGATGCTTTATTTGTGGAACAAGGGATGATTTGAAATTCTGCCTGCTAATTACTTTCATAGATAATTTTTGTCTTCAACAGAAAAAGCCCTTTGGGAGGATTGAATAATTTTGTATTTTAGAGCATATAAAAAGCTGTTTTAACCTTTTCTATGCGTAGTTATACTTACTACTTATTTATAACATATGGTTTTCAGCATATGCTTCTCTTCTCTATTTCTCAACAACATATAATATAATTATAGGATTTTCTAACCTTTAAGTAAGGCATATACTGGTTTTGGTAGATGTGTTGTCTGTGCTTTCTCAGAGTTGGGTATCTATTTTCAAAATACATTGTTTGACCATAGGGTTCTTTTACAATGATAATCTTTGATATGCTATACCTGCTATATTTTTTTGGCAAACATGGAAGTTTTCTTCAAATCAATTACCAGATTAAATGCCTTCTAAATAAAGAGTTCAATTGGATGGAATTCAAAAAGGTACTTGTTAAAGGACAAATTTGAATTTTAACAAGAACAATTCATAGTGTAGGGAGAAAATTAGTGAGGATCTTTTTATTTTTATATTTTGGTGCCTGCATGCGTGAACACTGTGCCATACAGTTCTCATTTTCATTTTCATAGTGATTTTACATCCTAAAAATGGATTAACAGACATGAAATGACTGCATATGGACATCATAGCATGTTCCAGCAGTTAATAATTGATAACGATGTTTATTTAGTCATGCAGAGGTAAGTATGAATGAAATTTTAACTTGAGCATTTAAATCTCATAATCTTGTGGTTTGTTTTGCTTTATGATGGTGCAGGTGTATCTCAGTGAATTCTCATTTCATATTCAGCATGCTTCAGGTCTGAATCAACTCTTTCACTGGCTAATACCTTGGTGTTATGGTAATACTTGATATTGGTGTAATGAACTTTGTAGGCATTCGAACCTCCACTTGATATGAGCCAAGACATAGATTTTAGTGAATATCCACATGCTGAATGTGCCCAGAAAGATCATTTAGTTTCTGAAGGGATTAATGCTTGTCCATGCGAATCAGGCCCTGTGAGAATAACATGTTCTGTATCTGATCAACATGGTTGCGTGGAATGTAGCAATCAAACTTGCAGGTCACCAGCATTGGTGCATCCCAAGGAGGTTTCTGCAGCATTCATGACTCCACTATCCTTTTTGTTTCACTAGATAAGAATTGTGGTTTTTCTATGGTTCTATCATTGTTTTTTTCATTTAGAAATTTGACCCTGTAGATAACAACAGGAGGTGGACATTGAGAATCACCACCAGTCAAATACTGAGAGCCATTCTACGAGCATGATACATGCTAAAGAAACTAGTGAATATTGTGGGAGTCCTATTGCTGATTGCAATGGCAATGTAATTCCATATCTGTTTTTATATTGTAAATTTTCTCATTTTTTAGAATATAGCTATTTAAGTATGTGTGCATATTCCTTGTGGTTAATGATGTTAATGCTATGATAGTTCTTGAAAAAAATAATCTTGATACATTTCAGAGCAATTGAACAAAACCAAACTTCACTTACTACTGTTGATATCTTCCTGCACTTTGGTACCATGGACATTTATGTTCAAATATAATATCTGTTAGGTTCACTAAAGCATGTCCTGATATGTTGGCACTTCTCTTTCATCCTTCTCCTCTCAGATTTGTTTGCAAAAATTCAAAGTTGTGCATAACAATTAAATCAATGACAACTGAGACATGTTACCTGGAGACAGCAACATCTAGGTTTTGAATCTCATTTGATTCATATTTTGTTTACTTGACCTTTATGAAATGTTGAAGTGAAAGGTACCATTCTGGATGAATATTTGAGTTGTAAAGAAAGATCTTTCTGCTCATCCTTTTAATGTGTTTATTCTGTCTCAACTGAAAACATCATTGCAATCTTTTGTAGATTGTCTTTTTATAATTGTATTAATCATTTGTTGATACTAAATGATGTGCTTTTCTTGCTATTCTTATCTTCATCCCTTTCTAACATCTTTATTTCAGGACCCAGTCACCTCATCACGCCAACAATGGTTGGATCCATCTTTTCAATTTAATGTTCCTTTAGTTGATGTAGATAAGGTATATTTGTGTTTCCAGCATCATTCTTTTCAGTTATTACATGTTCTAATGCAGGATAAAGGAAGGCTTTGGATTTTAATGGTTAGAGGTTTTCATGAAAGAATCAATGGTACTAATTAGATGGTGGCTGGACCAACCTATGAATTTATGTTTTGGGGTTTGATGGATTTTGGATCATTTTCTTAAAGGAATCCTTAATGTTGCCTCAAATGATTGCTGATTTGAGCAGTGGACAAAGTCAAAGAGATAGGGAAGAAAACGGAAAATAAATATACTTTATTTTTGCTGCAATAATTCATAAATCTGTCTTCTATCAAAAGAAAGCATTGCTGTTGTTTAACTAGACCTCAGATTACTTAATTTATATTTTTGCAAGAATCAGGATATAGGAATAGAATCAAAATGTTATAAGGACTGACAGGCTTTAAAATAAAACCCTTTAACACCTAATTAACATAAACTGAAGCTCAGTTACAACAAAACACCTTAAAATACTAAACTGCCTAATATGATCAGGTATGCCAAGTGTTAAGATGTCCCACACCCATGGCAAGGAATAGAGGTAGAATACTCCTTATAAGGGTTTGTGTAGTCCTTCTCCCATGAGCTAGCCCTTGGGAGTGAGTTGGGATCATGTTTCTAAACATGATACGAGAGCCTATCCAGTCCTGTTGGGCCCCGGCAGATGTCTAATCTTGGGCGTGAGAGGTGTGTATCAAGATGTTCCACATTGGTTAGTAATAGAGGGAGGATACTCTTTATAGGGGCTTGTGTAGTCCTGAGCTAGCTTTTAGGAGTGAGTTAGGTCCAAGTTTCTTATACCAAGATATTGAGAAATGTTGATCTTTTAAAACTTAGTCATTCATGATGCTGGCATATCTTGCATTGTGTTAAAATGTTATTTAGCACTGATGGTACAAGATTTTTAACTTTGATAGATGGTTGTGTGCATTTTTGTTAGAATTTATTTAGAATGTATGTAGAGGGTGAGCCTTGGAACAATGGTAAAGTTGCTGCTTTCTGATTTGGAGGTCAAAGGTTCAAATCTTGGAAACAGTCTCTCTGCTTGTGGGTAAATGCTGTGAATATCTTCCCTCCCTAGACCTCACTTGGTGGGAACCTTGTGCACAAGGTTGCCCTTATTTTATATATCTTTAGATTATCTTAGCAGATCTTTGGAATATAGTGCATTATAGAGTCAATTTTTCACTAATTATGGAAGCAATCTGATAGAAACAGGTTCAGATATTAAAGATTATCTGTATTGATAGAAATCTAGTAAAATCTAGGTATTTGAGAGACCTAGTTCTCTCTTGATGCCTAAAGTCCTCAATTCTCTCTCAATAACTAGATACCACTCCCTCTCAACCCCTTTTCTTATTTATAGGCATCTTCCCTTATTTTTCTAGATGCTGCTTGCCACCACTCCACAAAGGTTGTCAACGATGTCCGCTCCATGTGCTGCCACTGTTTAGGCATATGTGCCTTTTTTGGCCAGTTTCTTGCACCGGGTCCTAATCAGCATGGCCACCAATGACTCTGCCTCTGATTCCATTACCTTTGTCACTTTCACCACGGTGCCACTCATCCTGTGCGAAAAATTGCTTGGTACTGCCAACTACAGTACTTGGGCTGTGGCTGTCAAATTGTGGTTTCAGGGTCAAGGCTGTGAAGACCACTTGATGAAACAGGTCAAGGACATCCTGTCCAAGGATCAAGTCCAGTGGGGAGCAATTGATGCTTCTCTATGTAGCACTCTATGGTTCTCTATTAACCTCAAGTTGCAGCCTCAATACCAGACCTTTAAGACTTGTTATGATGTTTTGGACTAGGGCCAAAAAGGTCTATTCTAATGATGTTATTGTATACAGCGTTATCTCCAATCTTATTTCTATTAAGTTGGAAAAAATGGATGTTCAGACCTATCTTCATTGCTTAATTGCTGATTTTGAATTTCTCATGCCTTTTATTGATAATGCAGTGACACATACAGAACAACGTAGCAAGTTTTTCATTGCCCTTATTCTTACTAGTCTCCCACCTGAGCTTGACTCAGTGTGGAATTAGATCTTGTTTGCTTCTACTGTTCCCTTATATGACACTTTTTGTGAATAGCTGCTGGGTCTCTCCACTCCTCATGCTTTTGAGCATTTCTTTGTTCCTTTCCGTTCTCTAGGTAATTCCTCCACCCACATTTATTACTGTCATTGTGGAAATAATTGTTAAGATGTCCCACATTGATTAGAAATAGAGCCAGAATAGTCTTTATAAGGGCTAGGGCAACCCTCCTCTTATGAGCTAGCTTTTGGGAGTGAGTTAGGCCCAAGTTTCTTAATATAATATCAGAGCCTATTCAGTTTGAACATTGGGCTGCCCACAGATATCCAGTTCTGTTGGGTCCACCCATGCATATGTCTAGTCCTGCAAATTTCATACACTAGATGTCCAGTCTTGAGCGTGAGAGGGGTGTGTTAAGATGTTTCACATTGGTTAAAAATAAAGCCAGAATACTCCTTATAAGAGTTAGGGCAACCCTCCTCTTATGAGTTAGCTTTTGGGAGTGAGTTAGGCCCAAATTTTTTAACAATAGTGAAGGCTGTGGCAGGCATTGTTAGCATTCTAGTTGTGCTTATCACCAGTCTACCAGTGTTATGTCCATATTGAAGTAGAATGCCGCACCAAGGCTAGACAACAGCCTAAATTTGTGAATGTTGCTTAGGAAGCTTCGACTGGTCCTTCTGATGATGTTGCTGTTTCAGCTTCTAAATATAACAAATTTCTCCAATTCAAGGCAGCCATGTATAGTGCACCTCACCTGTCACAGCCATTGCTCAGAGTGGTAATCTTGTAGCCTTTGTTTCTTAGTCCTCTTCCCTTGGGCCTTTGATTCTTGACTCTAGTGTGTCTAAATCATATGTCTGGTAACAGTTCTTTTTTCTCTTTTCTGTCTTACCTGAACTCTATGCTAAATGTTTTCTTAGCAAATGACTTTCAAATTAAAGTTTGACACAGTGTTCAAACAAGTCCTCTCCTGGATCTCTCTTGAGATTCTGTCCTTTATGACCCTGATTGTCCTTTAATTTAATTATCATTGATAAACTTAGTTTTACGTTGCCCTATTTTGTTGTCTTTGCTTATAACTTTGTTCTTCTCCAGGATTGACGTAATGGATAGACAAGGAGTCAGACATGAGTATTAAAGATTATAATCTCTCATCCTTGGTTGTGTGCGTCGTTGCTTCTTACTCACTTACTCTCACGTATTAGTGTTTAGGTCTTCCCAATCTTAGTAAAATGCATCTTATGCTACTAAGTTTGTCCAAAGTCATGTCTTTTCAATGTGAATCTTGTCAATTAGGAAAGCATATTCGACACATAAAGATTGAGTCAATAAAAGAGTTGTCTCCATTTGCTTTGGTTCATTCTGATATTTGGGATCCTAGTCAGGTTAGTTTCATTTTAGGGTATCATTACTTTGTCATTTTCATCATTGATTTTTCCCGTTGTACCTCGTTATTTCTGAAAATTTTTTATTTATATCACAAGGGTTTTATTCTGAAATTGTTAGACCCTATGAACCTAAGTGGACAAGGCCAATCCAACTCAGTCATGGACCTTGGATTTGGAAAACATATTGCAGGATAAATAAGAAGGGGCAGAATGAGAAGTAGAGAGTAATTAGTTATGGACAACAAATGAACGTGTAATGTTTTCATTTAGTGTGGGGGAAGAGAGAGAAGGAATCAGTTATGCTTTTTGTCTGTTAGCAGTGGCAAAGGGTGCGAACCTTTGTAGGAGCTTTGCTCTAGGTATTGCAGAATTGATTCTGCAGTATTTTTCTTCTTTGTTAATAATACAGTTAATATCTTTGATCTGGTCCATGACAGAAATTCAAAATCATTTTGGTTCCAGCATTAAAATTTTACACATTGATAGTGCTCTAGAATATATGTCTGCTTTGTTTCAATCCTTTTTGACCTCGTAGGGAACTGTTTATCAAACTTCTTGTGCTCGCACGTCACAGAAAACCTGTTCTCCTGAAAGGAACATCACTAGTTGAAACAACTTGTACTTTACTTTGTCATCAAAATGTCCCTCTTCGTTTTTAGTGGGGTTCTCTACTCACGACATGTTAATATTAGAATTATAATTAGCTAATTCGTATGATTGATTTGTGATTTATAGGCCCACAATTCATTGTAATTGTTTCTGTGAATACTAAATAGTATAAATACATGTGGTGCGCTTTAGACTTAGACACAACATTCCTGAATATCTTTTTGCTTTCTATAGTTGACATATGAGCAGCTCCTGAATTCACCATTATGCACTGCCCATAGCTCCAAAATTGGAATAATATTTAATAGAAACTGGTTCAGATGTTGAAGAAAGTTTATTATTTATTTATTTTTATAGAAATCTAGTACAATCTGGGTATTAGGGAGACCTAGTTTTCTCTCAATGCCTAAAGGCCTAATCCTCCTTCAATTAACAAGATACCTTTCCCTCTCATCCCTTTTTCTTATTTATAGGCAGTATGCCTTATTTCTCTAATTATCTCAGCCTCAGCCCCAACTAACATACTACCTAGCTCCCCAGCTAATTAATTATTGGGTTACCTACAACAATCTTAGGAGTTGTTCCTGCATTTCGTTGTTTCCTGTTTGGTTTCTTCATTTAATTAGGGTTAGTAGTCTTGTACTCTTGTTACATTAGCAGACTGGGAGTTGTGTTTGAACCAGTAGTGTCAAACTAGTGTTTGAACTAAATTTTAGCATAAGTAGATCATACATGTGTGTTTTGTATCACATTATATCTACCAATTACATACACGCACAGTGATCTTGAACCATTAGATCATTGTAAAATCAGAGACATAACTGGATCTCTCATATTCACATGTGCCCATGCACAACAAGGGAAGCTTACATTGTTTTGGAAAGAAAATATGAGGGATAGATGATAGAATGAATGAAAATTAGAGATGTATCCTGCATTTATCATGTCTAGATTCATTATCAATTTTCTCTATTTTTTTTATTCTTTGATTCCAAAACCAACAATTAAGGTGCCATTGTTATCTATAGGGTAAATTCAAAATTAAGTACAGGGTCAAGAGCTTCTTTGTCTTAAGTGCTCTGCTAAATCAAGCTCAAGTTTTCAAAGAAAATGCCTGCTATGAAACTAGTCCCTTAAGTTGCTTGCTACTACTAGATTTCATTAATGCCTTGCCCTGAAATTTTGTTTGTCATGATCACTTCCTTGGAAATGTTTTATTTTATTTTTAAATATTCTGTGCAATTGCATGATTAAAATGATAGTTGTCAACTCACATATCGTATGGAATGTACATTCTTGAAGAAATAAATTGGGCTCATTTTTAAATCATTGCATGGTCTTAAAAGCTCAGGGCATTAGAGTAAATGTCATTTTGATCAGTCTATTATGAACCAACAGTTGTAAATATATCTTCTGCAGCTGCAACCTGCAAATCAAAGTCAGATTAATCAATTGCATGTGATAATGGAGCTATTGTGTTGCATCACAGCTGGTAGCTGCAAAAGGAGGTCTTTTGTGTCTCATTTTTGGGTTGCAGCTGTTGTGCCCAAAATTGTGGCTGCTATAATGGGCAGGGGCTAAAAGCCCAAATTTGATTGCAATTTCTTAGTTATTCTTGTGATTTCTAGTGCGTTTGTTGCTTTGGAAACATAGTAGGGTGATAGAAACTGGGTATCTTATTAAGAAGAATCAGGGATGAACATCAATTACATGGATATTGCAGTTCTTCGAGGGACTGCCCCCTCCAAATCCAAAGGCCCTATTCTCTTACAATTGGCAAGATTCCCCTCCTCAATCCCTTCTACTTATTAATAGACAACATGCCTAAAACTATGTCAAGCTAACTAACATATTGTAACTACTAATGTGGGTTACCTAACATAGGGTTTGAAACTCTTCCTCCTTAAACATTCATGCAACTCACCCGATCCTCCTCTGTTATGTTTTTCCTTCTTCCTTCACACTTCAACTTCTCCTAATTTTTATTGAATGTGTTGTTTCTTTGAAATTTGGAATTTTCCGTCAGGATAAGAATTCTGGTGAAGTGATGATTTTTTATGGTTTCGTTGTTTACCTTTATATTATTACTACTTTTTCCTCAGGTGCGATGTATAATAAGGAACATAGTTAGGGACTGGGCAGCTGAGGTACTGCTTGTCTATTTGATGTTTTTTCAATACAAATTTTAATTTTGTTTATCACATGAAAAACTTGATCATCTGCCCACCTTTTTGCTTCTGCAAATGTATCTTATTAGGGTAAAAAAGAACGTGATCAGTGCTACAAGCCTATACTTGAAGAGCTTAATATCCTATTCCCTAATCGCAGCAAAGAGAGGTAGAACATAATACTCTTGATAGTGGCATAAATGAAGTTCTTAGATGTGTTGAAGATTGTATGCACAATTTGCTTTTGACTAAAAGCATGAAATTTCTTCAACAGTTCACCTGCCTGTTTAGTTCCTGGTGCTGGACTTGGTCGGCTGGCCTTGGAGATTTCCTGTTTAGGTACATATGTATTACCAGGCTTGTGTATAGGAATTATGTTTACTATACTTTTACTAAAACTAATACATCATATTATGATGCAGGATTTATCAGTCAAGGGAATGAATTTTCATACTACATGATGATATGCTCAAGTTTTATTCTTAACCAGTAAGAATAAGAGTTGTCTCTTTCATGTTGATCTTGTTAATATTATAATATTTAGTTATTTGTTTTGAAGTCACAACGTAATGATTTCTTGTTCTGACTTTGAGTCTTGTCTCTTTTTGTTCTCAATCAAACTTGGCTTGGTGGATCATTTAAGTTCCCAAACTGCTGGTGAGTGGGCAATATATCCGTGGATTCACAGCAATTGCAATTCACTGTCAGATAGTGATCAACTTCGTTCTATTTCAATACCAGATATTCATCCAGCTAGGTATATACATTGGTTCTTCCAATAATTTTTTTTTTTCAGATGAAAGAAATGGATATGGAAAGGAACAACCATCCATAATAATTGTTAGATATGTAATATAAAATTATTCATGTATCTTAACCTACATCTTGGACTTTTTGGATAGTTAATTCATGATTATAAGGATTCCTCCTTAGATATAGAAATAACGGGAAATTCATTGAAGAAATAAAATATTAGCTAACCCCCATTAGTAGTTAGTTATGATATGTTACTTAGGGACCCATTAGTAGTTTGTTACAATAAATTAGTAAGTTAGCCTGAATTAATTTATGGTTGGGTAGGTTGAGATTGTAGAAGAACTAAGGCACATTACCTCTGTTAATAAGAAGGAGGTAGAGAGAGAGAGAGAGAGAGAGATCTGCTTGTCAATTGCGAGAGTTAGGGCCTTTAGCTTCGGAGTTGCTATTCCTTGAAGAAGTTGAGTGTTTTATTCTGTAAAATGGGGAGTCCTCCTTGTTTACTAATAAAGATACTAGGTTTTTATCATTAAACAACACTAATGATTAATATAAAAGAGCTTCCCCCTTTGCAAATTTTCCAATGACTCCTAAAACAAGAGAGCATTATTTCCCCAATCATGCTTAAGGGAAGATATATTCCAATTTTATGATTGAGCATTCCATTCTATCTAAAGACACCAAATTGCAACATAAACAACAACAATTAAACCTTATTTCTCTAGGTGACATCAGTTACATAAATTACACAATGTTATTAAGTTCGGTCAAAAATCAAATTATCTAAAATATTATTTATCACTAGATCTCATTTAATAGTTTCTTAAGTTCTTGTGGTTTTCTCTCTGTCTCTTTTTATTGGGTTAAAAGATGTGTCATCCACACTCCTCATTGATGACTTTAGTGGCCTTACTTTGCTTGTTTCTGAATAATCCAAATTGAATTTTTGTCATCTCTTTCTCAATATGTATTATTTTAATATTCTCGCATACAAAATTATTTTTAATTTTGTCCTTTCTTGTATGACCATATAAGATAATTGTTTGTATAATAGTACAATAAAACTTTCATTTTAGTTGAACGAGTACTTTATAGTTACAAATAACTCTCAATGCATTTATTTACTTTAATCACTCTGGTTGTATTCTATTAGTAATATTTTCATTAATTTTTCCATCATTTTGTAGAATATATTTCAACTACTTAAACTTGGAGACTTGTGGTTCTATGTCAGCTCCAATTTTAATTTCTAGTGCATAATTATCCTCTTGTTTCTCATTAAAATTGCAATGCACATACTCTATTTTACTTCTGTTTAAGCGAATAGTCTTAGATTCTAAAGTATGTTTCCAAAGTACAAGTTTAAAAAGTTAACATTGTCTTTTAATTTCTCAACTAAAATATGTCATCTGGAAAGAACATGCATTTAGGAATAATTTTTTGCATATCACTTGTAATACAACTAAGACTAGGTTAAACAAGTAAGGACTCAAAGTGGAGCTCAGATGTAAACCTATCCCTACAGGAAAGTCCTTAGATATGTCTCTAGGAGTTCTCACACTTGTTACCTCATCATACATGTCTTATATAGCTTGGATATATGCTACACGAACCCCTTTCCTCTCTAAAGCCTTCCACAACACTTCTCTTAGCACACAGTTATATGCTTTTTTGAAGTCAATAAAAACTACATGAAAGACACCAAATTGGCGCAGCACAGCAAATTGCTGTAGAACTTTTCCTTTCTTGCACCTGCCAATCACTGTAAGGTCTGAGTTTTGTGAGAATAATTTTCAAGGTACTGAGGGTTCATACTGGCTAATATTATGGGTCAAGTAGTAAATTGCAACAACTCATACAAGCTTAGCTCAATAGCACTGCTGAATAACAAGAACCCTAACAGGTTAATTATTCTAACACTTACCTTGAAGCTGGTGCCTATTATACTTTGTTCTTGTTAAGAAAGAAAAAAAAAATTTATTAACTACAAAATATAATGAACTCCATAAGATCTCATGATGTAAATGGCTACCAAAAAAATCACTGATTAGTATAGAGGATAGATAACAAAATGAATATTAAGTCCTAATTTTCAAATTCAACTGTGGGGCAGCTTGTTGATTTAATAGATAGAAGAATAGGGGATGAGACTTGCAACAGGTAGATAAGAAAAGCTAGAAAAGTGCACATATCTGGGGGAAGATAAAGCAGATAGAAATCGTATGGTGCTTAGCTGCAGAATGTTGTGTGGAACAGCCATCACTAATAATGATGTGGCAGCATAGCAACCTGTTCGCCACTCAAAAAAATCCAAAAATTTAGGCTCTTGCTAGATTTGGTTGATCTACTCTGCTTGGTGCTCGATTGATTTTATCTTCACCCACTGGAGAATGATGATTGCCCAAATTATTGATCCAAATGAAGTGTCTATAGGAAAAAAATTTCTGAGGACTTAAGTGTGCAGCAGCAGTTGGTGCATGCATTGGCATCTAATCTATTTTAATGCCAACTGGACTTGCACTTTATAGTTTGATGCCGTGAATAGAAGTCTTGGAGGGATTTGTCATTGTCTTTTACTGGCCAAAGCAATCTATCCAGACAATAAGGTGGCATTGTTTCAAGGTAAGAAGAGGAACACTATTACCAAGAATATTTGTTCCTGGGTAAACTAAGAAACATATTTGGTCAAATTTTAATATGCCTAGGAAATATTTTAAAAAATCAAATGATAAAAAAGAAAGAATAAAAGTGAGAATGGAAGTTACTACTCAGGGTATATGATAACTTCTAATATTGTCCTGGGATTGTATTATTCCGTGCCCTCACCATGGTTATGAAGTCAATTAAATTATAAAGATGACTTATTCCTGGGAATCAAATATGCCAGGGAATATTTTTTTGAAACTCAACAAACATGGGAATGATACATTCCCAAGTTCATATTCCCAGGAATAATTTCACAAAACTTGAAACAAATACATTCTAAATTTTCAATACACAGTTCCCTTTGATAGAAACTAGGTATCATATTAAGAAGAATTAGGGGTGAACCCCAATTAGAAGGATAGAAGAACATTACAGTTCTATGAGGGACTGCTCCCAAGCGAAGGCCCTAACTCTCTCATAATTTTGACCAGATCTCTCCTCCTTAATCCCTTCTACTTATTTATAGCAGCATGCCTAATTAACTAAGTCAAGCTAACTAACATATTATAACTAACTACTAATGGTTAACTAACATATTGTAACTACTAATGTGAGTTACCTAACATCCTTCCTTTAAGGATCTACAAGTTACAACCAAGGTGCACAACATATTTAGTGATTCTCTTCCCAACATGAATTTTGAAGCTGGATAAGTTCATATATAATGCGAAACTTTTTGCTGATGAAGCATTGGAAATGAGTCAAATGAATTCAATATGATGTTGCACAAAAGTTGCTGTTGGTTAAACAATTTGATTATCTTGTTGCATTATTAGGCTTGAAACACAAGACATATTCAAATAGTATGTTCCTGTTATGGAGAACATTAGTAGCTTGGAGAAATACTAAAATATTAATTTATGGTATGATATGTCTTGTAATCATAATATTCCTGGTTTCAATATACTGGAGCAGTGCAGGAATTTCTGAAGGCTTTTCAATGTGTGGAGGTGACTTTGTTGAAGTCTACAGCGATTCAAGCCAAGTTGGTAGGGCAAATTATCTACAGCTATATTCCTTTTTATTGGTGATACTATATTAGCGGCTCTAAAAAAGGCTAAACTTAAAAGTATTTAGAGTGCTCTGGTTATATTCCTTATGCATAAGCTTCATGCTTTGTTGATTCATCATGTTAAATTAAGCAAGACACAGAGATTACATGTATTGAATTAAGGAATCTTTCTTTGCTACAGTGATTAGAAAATGAGCTTCAATAGATGTTTTAACTTGTAGGGTCTATGAAATGATGAAATTTAATCATATACTATGAACTACTAATTTATAACTGTATTATATAATGTGATATGGCACTTTTTAGTGTTTGCAGCCTGAGTTAACCTCTACTGCTTATGCATTTTGATAGAATAGATTAAACTTCTTACATGATGCTGATTCGGAACTTAATTAGCATTTTCTTTTCTGCTTAAATAGTTCATTTGAATCGTGATTGTTAGGATTTGAAAAGAGCCTGAATGCTGCATAGTTCTCTACTAATTGTTTGACTTTATGTAACAAATGCAACTTAGGGAGCATAGTCCATGGATCACCCCTTTTCTGTTTGGAGATACTAATAAGAAGTTAATATATCTTGCACAAACTGAACTTGGCATTATTATTCCTACTTTGCACATCTGTATGTAATTATCCATCCTAAATGTGATATACCTAGTGTAATAATTTCTAAAGAGACTTACAATGGCCTTGCAGGTGCATGGGATGCAGTTGTTACTTGTTTCTTTATTGATACTGCTCATAATATTGTTGAGTACATTGAAATAATTTCAAAAATTTTGAAAGACGGGGGAGTAAGTTCCTGAATCCAAAACTCCAAATAGATCATATGTATCTAACTTCTTTACCAGTCCATCTGTACCCTTTGCCTGTTGCTATTCTCATTTCAGTGCTGTACTTCATATATGGTGGCATTGACATCGTGACAGGTTTGGATAAATTTGGGACCTCTACTTTATCACTTTGCAGATATGTATGGACAAGAAGATGTAAGATTCTTTCTTTTCACTTACTATATGGGATCACATGCTTGGTGTGGAATATCTTACTCTGAAATTTGTCCATAGGAAATGTCAATTGAATTGAGTTTGGAAGATGTTAAAAGGGTTGCGTTGCATTATGGATTTGAATTTGAGGTAATCTCATCTGATTCATTTGGACAATTCCCTTCTGTTCATGCAAGTTAATAATCATATTTGCATTATCTTGTCATGAATTGCAGAAAGAAAGGACTATTGTGACAACATACACCACAAATCCTAGATCAATGATGCAAGTAAGCTTCTAACCGCACACAAGTCTAGCTAATCTTAATCCCTAGCATACTTGTGTGACAATCTTAGTTGTTTCAATTCAGAAATTCCAAACCACTTTATCAAAATGTGACTATTATTTATGTTGGTTATTCTATGTAGCATGTACTAATGTTTTACATGTGTGTGTATGTGCACACACGTGTGTTTGATAGATTTGCTCATAAAAAATTTGGAAATTTTCTTTTCATTTGGTAGTTACACATTAATGAACCTATAATTTTCGATTTGGGTGATGCTAAATTACGGAAGAGAAAATTTCATTGTTTGGACAAAATTTCACAAAATCATTAACACTGAATCTACTGATAGCTTTTGTTGAATATGCTAAATTGTTTATGATCCTATTTGCAGAATCGTTACTTTGCTGCGTTTTGGACAATGAGAAAAAAATCTGCTGCAGTGCAGCAGCAAGTGCCCTGAGAATGGGGGATTCAATTATTGTGATATGAAATATAAATTAGTTCTCTTCTACTTGTCAGTTTGTGTTTTTGCTTGTTGAAGTGGAGACTATCCCTATTTATGAAATCCTGGCAATTTGTCTTCATTGGAAAGTTGAATTTGCTTTTGGTTAAAAACTGTGTATCATGAATATTTTTGATAATCATATGCATGCTAAATGGTTTATGCATTCTTGGATATTGTATGAGAAAACTTGAGTGTTGATTGAAGGTTGAAAAGTCCCTTTCCTTGCGAGTGACACACAAGCGGGGGCTTTATTATGTGATAGATAGATGATATTTTAAAGTTGAGTTTTGGAAAGCTCAAGGTTTTCATTTCGGAAATGCATTGGATAAGAGTGGAAGCCTAGTTTAATGTGTAAGAAGCCAAGAAAGCAATACGATATGAGGGAATTTGTAATGAGTGGCCAACGTTAGGTGATGATTTTTTACATTAGAAATGCAAAATGACAAATAGAACTTGATATACAAGAAAATTAAAGTGACAAGGACTTTTCAAGCATTTGTACCAAACTTCATCTTTGTAGGAAGTGCATCTTTGAAGCTTCTAATTAGATTGAGTTTTTCCCTTCCGGAGCACATTTATGTAGCATTTTTTGAAGGCTTTATAACCTACATGGAAGCACGTCCCCTCCCACAGCCCATGTAACTTGTTTCTATTGAGTTTTCTGACAAATTTTATTAAGGCTAGTGAAAGTGCGGTAAGTTCTAATTGAAGAAAATAAATAATAACGAGGTTGAGATTTGGTGAAACATTAAGTGATGGAAACTTGGGCCCCCGAAGTTGTTAATGCCTGCTTGACAAGAAAATTTGACTGGTGTGTCCATTTGATGCCTAATTACTTCAAGTTAAGTTGACGCCAGTCCATTTACCTTCGTCACCATAATTAATGATGATGCATGTTATAACGCTTGTAGTATAATCACACAATGTAAGTACGTCGTTCTCTCGTATATACAATTATTTGTGTAACATCTTCAATTCAATTTCGTATAAAAATACATAAATAAATTTTATAATAAAGAACATAAAATAATTTTTTTTTATTTTATAGATTTAAAAATTGAATAAAAACAAAACTTATATTTCCTCTATGAAAATTGTATAAGATTTTACATTATTTAAACTTTCAAAGAAATAATTTCAAAACTCTAAAGTAATAAATAAAATTTAAATTTACGTTTGGCAAATTATTTAGTTCACAATGCATACATGTAATTCTAAGACATAATTAATGATATATCAAAATTATTAATTATAACAAAATTTATCAAAGTATTTTTTTGAACTCAAAAATTGATATTCAAAGTATTTACAGAATTTTGTCAACTTAAAATGTAAATATAATAAAATATTACAATCTTTCAAATTATTCTAAACTTTACAGAGCAATCTTCTTTTACAAAGTTACTAGATTATGGACCTAGAGCGCATCAATCACTTTTATCTCTTCACTTTCATTACTTTGAAATATTAGTAAGAGTGGATATTTTCAGTCTTACTAAATATCTTTATTTGACATAAAAAAAGTATTTATAAATATAATACTGAAAATATTATCTAATATATATGTATCGAATTAACAATAACACTCAGAGCATGCAAATCATTATCACAGCGGAGCACATACATGACAATCAATCAGTCATCTTTGTAAATACTTATGGCATGCATTTTCACACAAATCTTTATGTCATGATACATGTATTATACTACATCAATCAATATGTACAACACGTGTCCTAATTGCACCCGTCGATGTATTACAACATATATATCGTAACAACATCAACCGGTATGTTTAGGGTTTAGGGTATGCATATATTATAATCATACAATTTCTATTACTACTTCATATTCATCACACTTTCACATTCATTACCCCTGGGATCCCTTGAGGACTTTATAGCATAGATAGCTGCTGGTTAGCCGCAGTAACATGAATACACATGTGTCAACCCAGCTCCTTTTAGTAAAGGTATAGTCAGGAATCTCATCAGGAAATGAGTGTGTCTTGTGAATGCTTTCACTTTCAGCAAATCATTGTGCACCCATTTACAATTAGTATTCACCACTCTCATTTTTCTAAGATTTTTCAAATCTTCTCCGGACTCTATACCTCTTGTAACGGCGACAAAGACCGAGACCCGACAATCTTACCACTTTTAGATAACTTGACATGTAATGCATACCACTATCATTCTTGAGTATTGAGAAACTTATTTTTTAATATATTTTAAAGTGACACGCTGTCACAACATGGATCTTAATTCTTCGTGCACCTGATACGCAACAATTTATAAAGATTCATGTCATACTCTTATTACTAATAATTACTCATGAGATTTTGTTTTCTTCATTTACTCATAGTTTAGAAAATCGTAATATTTGTAAGTACCACTTGAATAATATAGCCACACCATGTATTGACATAACTATACAAGTGGACTCCAATCTTTTTCGCCTGCTCATGAGCCAATTACTAATAATATGAGATACAACATATAGTTTATCACTTCAACTAGAATTCTCTTAGGGGATGAACCCACAAAGTTCACATTCATTACCTGTATGCATTGAAGAACCAATTTCCAGCCTATTTAATTCCATCCAAATAAAAATCAGAAGATAAATAATAACATAAACCTGGTCATATAAATAATCCCATAATTATCCAAAGTAACCGCAAATTATCCAAGAATCTTAAAATACAATCCACAAACATCAGAGTACCAAAACAAAGTACATTACACCCAAGCTACCAAAATAAAATATAAAGTATCCAATTCTCCACCATACAACGAGTGGAGTCCTCTAACAGCAAACAACAAAAGAAATAACTAAACAGCAGTCAGGACTCCTTAGAAGGGTCCTCCTCTATCTCTTTGGTATCTAAAGGATCCTCTTCAAATTGAGCTCAACAAGGAGAATAAGACGGAAAGACCATCCTCAAGACCTGTGATAACTTAAAAAAAAAATGTCCAACACCACAACATATTTCAACAAAGAAAAGAAGGAGTGAGATATATTTTCAAGTAAATATTCTTAAAAAAAAAAAAAAAAAACAAAACAAAGTAAGTACGAGCATACATCACATTAATACAATTGTAACTTTTACAATATAACAAAATTCAAGTCTAACTACATGATGCATGATTAATGCAAATGATAACTCTTGGTTTGGCAAAATCTCATTTTTATGATTATGTGACTCTGGATCCATAACAATCCTATTGTTCGAAAGTTGTTGGGAGTTTCACTATCCAGCCTATATTTTGCATGTATGGTGGGGACTTGAACCTCCACCGACCGATCTAACTCAACCAACAAGTTAAGCCTCAAGAGAAAGTCAGGATAAAGGAGCATCACGTGGAGACTCCCAGCCAGAGTTCTGGGGCCTAGGACACTCATAGGGCTATTGGTAAGTCACCTAACTCCATTAAATTCCCTAGATGTCGAGGTCCTCCCTATCTTTCACCAACAATAGTTATAAAATAATCTCATGACTTCCTTCACAGGGGAGTGGGATTTCACACACATTTGCCTTCTAAATAGTCATGCAAACTTTTGGAGTTTCACTCCCTTAATCACACACATAGGCACTGGCTAAGTTTAAGATTTCACATCATTTCATCAACTATTGAGAATCATATATATGTAGAGAATTGACAAGTACTTATACCCGTGCCTCAATGCACTTTTTCTAAGTATTCCAAGCTCACTAGTTCCATCTCTTTCCTTGAGTTCCAATCATTACCCGGCTAAAGTTACACTACTCATTTACTTTCAAAAAGAAAGAAAACAAAGTTTTCACAAAGGTTTACTTTTAGTCATTAGACTCAATTATTGAACTCAAGGTCGAAGTTGAAACCATGGCCAAACTCCTTAGAGCGCATATAGTTACATACCAATTTCCTCATAGCATATCATCACGCATTTCCCACCCTCAAAAGGCTCAAGTTCACAAATGGTACCCACTCAGCCTGCATATGCCTATATGCATATTCTTAGTGCTTTACACAACACATGCGCCAAATCATATATTTTCAAAAAGCACAACACACAAGATATCCTATTCAAATACACCAAGCATATTACTCATATTGGACATTTCAATAAAGTATTTCGTTTAATTGATCTTTGGTTTTCGACAAGTTTTGAGTAAATAGTTCACTTAAAATAATTCACAATTTTCACGTACAAAATAATATTTACTCAAACATCAAGTGTGATATAATTCTCAACCAAAGATCGAGATTCTCATAATTATATTTTAAAACATCAAAAGTCTCAAGTAAATATTCAAAAAATGTCAACATGTAATTCAAACACCATATGTCTCCTAATACATGTGTTCTAGACCTCAGGGTTAAGGGACAACCCTCTTTGATTTATTTTCTTTCTTATTGTTTACTTGAAATATGTCCTCCTTTTTATCTTGATGAGTGAGGTAGTCTGCAGGTTTTTTTTCTTGGACTTCCCGACGTCAAAATTTGCAGTTTCTTAGTTTGTTGCGTTCCTAGTAGAGAAAGGAGTCGATCAGAATCCTTTGAGCCAAAATGGCCAAGAGCTAGTATTTTTAAGTGTAAAATTTTATTGCAGAAAATGAAAAAACTTCATATTTGCGCCATGTTTGTAAAATTAAGTATAACGGACTCAAACAAAGTCCAAATCACTATCCGCAAAATTTATTACAAAGCTAAGATCCTAAGGATCAAAATAATCTTTTAAAAATCAAGTTTTAATGCATAGGAAAGTGCAGAAAAATCAAACTTCGCTTCTGTTCACGTAGTTTTTCAGCTTTGCACCACTTTTGTAATTCATTTCATAAGGTATTCAAACGAAGTCCAAAATTGACATAAAAATATGTGTTGGAAAGCTATTTTCATGTAGTTTATGAAAATAAATTTTTTTGGTTGAAAAAATCTCTACAGGGAGCATAAAAATTATTTCTTTATATCATTTCTGTAGAAAAAGTAAAAATGAAGGTCCTCACGTATTCTAGACAATTGAGGGGGCAAACAATATCAGATTTGAGCTCAAGATACACCGTTGGAAAGATAATTCTGCAAGGAATACATATAGGTGTTGCA